GTTGTGATTGGCCGAATACCTCAAGCGTGTGACGGAAATGTTACGCCCCTACCATACTGTGATGCCATGACCCGGCCGGAGCGACGAGACTAAAACATTAAAACCCATTATAAACGAGGCATTTGTTGCATCCAGTGTGGACATAATTACTGATTATAATGACTTATACTGTCTTTTTACGCGTTGCGTTGCCTCGCGCCGTGTAAACATAAAACCATGTCTGCATTTGTGATCGGAGGAACAACAAACAACAAGCCTACTCTACACTGCTCAAAACTCGTGTTGGAATCATCATTGCGTGATGCCATATCAGTCCTCATCCATCCTCCATAAAATGCACAGCACAAATCTGAATATTTGGGTTGAAGTGTTCTGGAACAGTGTTGTAAATACAACTTAACCACTGATTTCAAGTCGTGTCCTCTTTTGGAAGACCAAACAAAGTAGTTTCGCTTTCACAACGAAACACACAGCGACTCCACAACATGGCAGCGGCGGCAACAACGAGAATAAAAGTTACTCCTTCTTTCTTTGCGTGAACATTTGGGCGGCGTTATGCATCTTCCCACATCATGACGTAGACATGTGGGGGCGTGTTAGAACAAGCTTTTTTAGGAGGGCGTGGTTGGCTCTTAACTTTTATAAAGAATATCTCTTTGGATTTGAGACTTTAGTCTTTGCAACTTTACAGATCTTCTTTATGCACCAAGAGCTTGTAACACTCCAAAGAGAAAGGAAAAATTTTAATTGCATCATATGACCCCTTTAAATATAAGGTGGATATATTTCAGATGCCTTTTTCTTTCAGTCTATGTGAAGTTTTTCTCTTGTTTAATCATCCACTAAGCTAAAATTGTAAGTCTAGTCACATAGAAGTTTGAGGAATCATTTATGTCTGTATTCATTGTTCAAATTCTTAACCTTGAGTATGAGCAATAGTTGGCAAACACTACTATTAATGTATTTCCAGGGGGCATTTATCATAACAAAACAATGTCAGGCTTTGTGACTTAATCCTATTTTATAAGATTATTAATAGCAATGAATGTTATCAAGGTCTTATTAACCATGAAACAACTTTTAAACTTTAAATATTTTATGTAGTGATTTGTAAACTTCACAAGCTTCTTCTAGTTTAAGAAAAATTTGTGAAAAGTGAAGTTTTTGATAAATATGCTGAGCAATTCCTTTATCAAATGTTTGTCTGGGAAGTAGAAGTCTTGGCTCAAAGCTTCTAATTAACTGCTGCGTCTAATTAATCAAGAAAATTGCAGCTCTAGGCTATAACCAATGATTCATAAATGCGCTTTCAGCTAGGGGTACGTAAGAGTCGACTCAAACTTTATGTGAACTGTATTTGGGTCATTTGAGGGAGACCAGTGGCTACATCATGATGGATTGATATGTTGTTGTATTATTAGTGTGCATTGAAGTATCCAGTTTGTTTCTTCTTTTTTGCATAGCTTGTAATTTAACCAATCTAGTTGATTCTTCAAACTTGGCATTCTGTACTATGAATATTGTTAGCTCTTATGACAAATAGCTTTTGCATGTCACTTTGGATAGAAGCATCTGCTGAATGAATAAATTTGATGTTTCAGAGCTATAAATTGAATGTGGAGTGCAGCTCAGATTATTTGGCCTTGGAAGAATTTGATGGGAAATTAGTTCATATTGATATCTCTGACTTTGCAATTGCAGATTTTGTTGTTTTGGCCAGTTCAAGCAAGATATGAAAGATCTTCTGAAATTCGAGAGGAGGTACATGAGATTATATGTTTTTTTTCTTAACAGAAACATCTAAGAAGCAGAACGCCTAATCAGAAACCAATTAGATTGGTTTAATTTCATTGCTACCTAGAAAAAACTGGGATGTTAAACATGACATTATTTTATGAGTGTGTTTTTCAGTCCTGTGCTGATGTATTTCCTATTAAAACAGAAATGAAGATAGAACATATTGAGGACTTTCCATTTTGATTTCCTTTGTGAATTTTCTTGCATACGGCCCACAGTTGGACATGCATGGACAAACATGCATCCAGCCATAAATACAAACATACACATATACTACATGCATGTAACAGAAATTAGGGCTTTAGTGAGGTGCGTGGACACAGATCAGGGGCAGACAGGAGCCATTACTGTGATTAAAAGATTGGATCTGGATCGTGCCGAGAGGCGCTGAACATTTCTGTTATGGAGTCATGATAAACTATTGAAGAATATTATATAGATCTGTCTGAGCTAGTGTCCTGTCCAGCTGGAGAATCATCCCTACCAAAACTGGGGTGCAGTGAAATTTACTACAATTTACACTATTAATTCTGAGAATCAGTTCTATTAGGACAGAATCTGACTTTTTGGTATTTTACATTGTGCCCTATTTTTACAGATTTTTTTAGAGTGTATATTAGGCTACATTCATTATTATTTTATTATTTGTTTGACCTGTTAGAGATGTTAGAAAAGTTTTTATGACAGCCACCATTTATTTGATCATATTTCAACAACAGATTGGTGCACTGATCCGTTAAATCAACCAAAAGTGAAATTGAAGACATTTATAATGCAACAAAAGAGTTTTATTTCAAATAAACACTGCTCTTTTGAACTTTCTATTCTTTTTACTTTTTTGTTGAAAATGTAGCTTTGTCATCACATGAATAAATTCGTTTTTTTAATACATTAAAATAGAAACAGTTCATTTAATTTAAATTCTAATAATATATATATTTTTTAATTTTCCTTAAGAAAATTTGGCATGTACCTGAAATATTTCCAAATGAATCAATATCGAATCAAATCAAAACGTGAAATCTGTGTCAATACCCAGTGCTAGTACCATGGTACTGTCACAGTACTTTTTTTTAAAGGTCCGTTATCTAACACACAACTGATTTATTTAATCAGTTCATTAGTAGAGTGCTCCATGACCTGAATTGGGTGTGTCAGATTTTTTAGACACCTGAAATATGCAGGATTTTGAAAAGTCTCACTGACGGGGGCCGCCACACATAATCAGCGTTAAATGAATTCTTTGCTTCCCCCCTCCTGATCTCTGTATCTCTCCTACTGTGCTTAACTTCATTTGACTAAAACCGCTCTTATCCTCACGGATAATCTGTCAAATGGTTTGTTCATTCATCCATCTATCTGTTGTAAGGACGCCCTACTGCTCACCCACACGCCGAGACCTCGCTTACCTTCTGCGCATTAGCTGACGAAGCATGATCACTGCTCAAGTTTGTCAGTCACTGGGTGAACGGTATTTGAGGCCGAATGACAAATCATGATGAAACCAATGGCAGCCATCTGCATTTGCTCCAGACAAATGATGTAATAGCGCAGATAATTCACTACCGCATTTTGTTGTCAAAGCTTAAAGTCCCCCTGTAGTGAAAATCAAGTTTTTAATGTTGTTTATTTGTCTATGTGGTGTTTTTAATATGCTTTTAGACAAACCATGTGACAATCTATTAATCAACACCATTGCTGAGTATTTTCTCCTTAAAACTGTAGTTTCCCAAAGGCTGACCCAGAAATGCGGTTTGAAACAGCCCTCGGTTTGCTACGTCACAAACCAATAACCAATCACGTCAAGGGATCGATTCCTATCACTAGCATGCAAAATATACCAATACCAGCACAAAACCAAAAATAAATTGGAGCAAAAAACCCATGAAGCTGTGGTTTAATGTGAATTTAGAACCGCTAACTTGCATTAACCCGTGGCAACAGTGTAAAAGTAGCCCAGAGTCAGACGCACCTCTCCCGCATAGGCGTCTGAACTTCACTCGCGTATGCTCGCGGGTGCGAATTAAGAATCCCAAACGGCTGCATTCGAGTCTTCAAGGCATTTTAGGACACAACATCGTCAAGTAAGTAACTTTAACGAATGATACAGTATTCACTGTAGTTGTCCGCTAGTAAAAACACAGATTTATCAGTCA